GGCATATATATATATGCCTGTGCCTGGCTTCCACTCCACCAAATGCATCTGAGGAAGTAGACTGAAGTCTACAAAAGCTCATGCTGCCAATTGCTTTCTTTCATTTCTCAAAGGTGCTACAAGATCTCTCTACGTACTGATTCCACAGACTAACACGACTATATCTTTGAACTCTACCACTCTGAATTTTATTTATTTAAGTATTTCTGTATCGCCTCCCAGTTCACAAGGGCTCTTGAGGCAATAAGCAAATAAAACCCAGTTAAAAAAATAGTAAGTTTTTTAAAACATTTAAAAACATATTAAAATATTCGAAAAGCACTCTAAAAATAACTCTAGAATCCATAGTTAAAACAGCAATTTCAAACACTGAATGCCATGCAGAACAGCACTGTTTTGGCTGCCCACTGGAAGCTTAAAGGCAATGGGGCCTGCCTAACTTCCTTGCTTATGGAGTTCCACAGAGAAAGCCCTGTTTTGAGTAGCAGCCAACCGAAGTTCACAAAGTATTGACACACATAACAGGGCCTCTTCTAAAGATCTCAACTTTCTGGCAGGCTCATATGGGAGGAGGCAGTCTTTCAGATATCTTGGCCCCAAGTCTTTTAGGGTTTTGTAACACCAGCATCTTCAATGGAGCTCAAAAGCAAACTGGAAGCCAGTGCCGTTCTTGTAATACTGGTATTATATGGTCTTCAATATTGACCTGAACATCAGTCTGCCTACTGTATTTTCCGTTAGCTGCAACTTCTGAACACTTTTCAAAGGCAGCCCCACGTAGGGTGCAATACAGTAGTCTAACTGAGAGAGAACTAAGGGGGATGCAGACGGGCAGCCCTGGGCCATCCCAGGAAGTGGAGGATTGGGGCCAAGACTGCCGGATGCGTTGGCCCCAATCCTCCCTTTCGCCGGCCTGGAAAAGAGCGGCAAAATGCTGCTCCTTTCAGAGCCAGCAAATAGGGCACCCTAAGAGCTGCCACACGGCTCTTTGGTGCCTCTTCCGGTGCAGCACGTCAAAACGCTGCGTCAGAAGGACATCCTGTTGCCGTGTGTAATGGCATGTGGCATCAAGACGTCTTTGGGAAGGGGTTGAGGTGGCCAGCGTGCGGCTGCCCCTCCCCATCCCTGCCTCCAGGACAGCCCAAAGAGCCAGTCTGTAGAGGCCCTAAGGCATGGACCACTGTGCCCAGCTCTGCCTTCCCCAAGAAAGAGCGCAGCTGGTGCAACAGGCAAAACTGGTCAAAGGCACTCGTGGCCACTGCAGAAATCTGACTTTCCAGGAACACTGCTGGGTCCAAGAGCACCTGTAACCTGCAAATGCAATATTTCAAAGGAAAAACGGCCCCTTTTAGAACAGGCTGTGATCCCAATCCCAGGTTGGTTTTCCTACTGACCAGCAGCACCTCAGTCTTGTTTGGATTAAACATCAGCCCCCAAACTACACAAAAAAAAGGCTTCATGGTTTTTATTAGAATATCTGCATTATCTAACATGCAACTGTCCATTTGCTTCGTATGGATTCAGATGGCTGCGCATTCTCAGCAGAGGGAGGGAGAATAGATGTGAATTTGCCCAGGAAAGTGAAGACTGTTAAATGTAGACCACCATTACCCTGACCAACAAAAAACAGTTCAAAAGTGTAGGCTGCTGCAAGTGTATTAACTGAGCCAGGCCCATGGTTGTAGGGAAGTCATGAAATCCTGAGCTGGCCCTGATGAGGGTGGCTCAGCATGGACGTTAAAAAACCCCCACAACCAACCTAATAAGTTTGGAGCAGACTATCACTTTTGAGATCACCTCCATCAGCTCTAACAGGTACAAAGCTCGGCAGCGAGGTGGACAGTACAACACTAGGATCCCTATTCTGTTTTGTGGCTCCATTGCCAGGTGTGTAGGCTCAAACCTTGGAGATTGGACAGGGTACCTCAATAGAGGAATGGACTCATGATAGATCCTTGCACCTCCTTCCAGCAGTGCAAACACACTGGGTGACACCCCAGAAACGTGGAGGTGACACCAGATCAGCTCCCTACCCCTTGTGGGTGATCCTCAGGGCTCCACGGGTGCTTTTAGGCCCTGCCCTGGGTCTCCTAGCCCTGTGACGGGGCTTTATGGGGCTGCATCAGGGCTCCTAGGCCCTGCCCTGGGTCTCCTAGCCCCGCAACAGGGCTTTTCAGGGCCGCGCCTGCTCCCTGGAGCCACATGGATGGTTTTCTGGCACGTGAGCATGCATGCTCCCATGCAGCGTATATGCTGGAAGTCCTACGCCAGAAGTCTCGCCCCCAGAAATCCCACCCACCCCAAACCACGTATCACCAGGTTGGGTGACGCCACTGCCTCCTCCCACTGCCCATCAGATCTTGCCTGCTGCTGCATCCAGAAACCTGGTAGTCATAACAGGGTCATGGTGACACCCTCCTCTTCAATTAACCAAGTTTCAATCAAGAATAATGCCTGGAATCAGACTAGTAACCAGTGGAGCCCTCCCTGTATCCAGCTCCAGTTAATCAACTGGTTGCATCTCTTTGGACCAGATGAGGTTTCTGCACGTTCTTCAAGGCAATCCCATGTAGTGTTACAGTAATGAAAATGGAATGAAACTAAGGCATGTGTCACTGTGACTAGATCAGATACCTCCAGGAACAAGTAAGGATGACTCAATAGTTTTAGCTGTGCAAAACAACTCCTGGCCACCACAGAAACCGGAGCATCAAGAGTTAGTACACTCACACAGTAAGCCCTTGTCTTCTGGGGGAGCCTGTGTCTTCCCACCTATCACAGGCTGAATTACTTTTGTCTGATCTGCCTTTTGATCAAATACGGGCCTCTCTTTCTTGTCTGGATCAAGCCAGACAAAATCCTTTCAAATAATATTCCTGGACCTTTGACATGACCATTATTATTTATAATCGTAATGGAAATTCTAGCAAAGAGAATTAGGAAAGAAGAAACAATCAAATGTCCAAGTATACATGGGTTTAGATATAAATTACGTGTTTTTGCGGATGATATAGTGTGTGTTTTTTTATGATGCAGTAAATAGTGTAACAGGACTACAACAAATACTAAAGAAATTTGGAAAATGGGACTCTGGCTTCTCTTTACAGCATATAAATCTTTTGCCTTTTGACTTGACCACAATAAAGCACTTTCACCTGATCCTCTTTCTGCATCTTCTTCTCTGCCTGGGTCAGGAGGAAACCTTCTGCCAAGGCCACTGCCTGGGAACAGGTCTCTGCCCCACATTCCCTGACCCATTTCTCCATCTCCAGGGGCAGGATGCTCAGGAACTGCTCCAGGATCACCAAGTCCAGGATCTGAGCTTTTGCACGTTGCTCTGGCTTCAGCCACTGACAGCAGAGATTGTGGAGCTGGCTGCAGACCTCTCGGGGCCCCAAAGCCTCCTGGTAGCCAAAATCCTTGAAGCGTAGGCATTTTTGCATGTCCAAACTGAGCACATCCTCCCCCAAACTCTTCTCTGTGGTTCTTCCCAAGAACACATCTCTGTCCTTAGCCAGACTAGGGTGAGGGGCTTTTCCAAATTCATGGCCAGCAGAGCCTTCCTTTTGTGTCTTTTCCTTGTTTTCACAGGCAGTTCCCAACATCATCACTTTCTTCTTTTATCAGAGGTTTCTCAGGCAAAGACTGGCCAATTTATCAGAAACAGCAAAGCCTACAAAGAAAGCAAGATATCGTTGTAACCTGCCTTGAATCCCAAAATGGGAAAAAGGTGAGATATGAATAAAAATAAGCAGAATAGCCACCACCACCACAATAACAACAATATTCTGACTGAGCTATTCTGGAGACCCTCCTGAGAGAAGAATAAAAAGAGGAAAAGATGGGAAGGAATCTAACAGCACCTTTAGGACTACAGTTGGCCTACCACATTTGTGGCTTTGACTTTTGCGGATTTGATTATATGCAGTTTTGATAAATATGTTCTGTCTAGGAATCTCTAGGTCCTCCAGCGCAACTCTGCCAGCAGTTGACCATAGAGTTGCGATCAAGGACCTAGACATACCTAGAGAAAATACTTCTCTAGGCATTTGTAGGTCCTCTAGAATGACTTTATGATCAACCTCTGGCAGATGTTGACCACAGAGTTGCACTGGAGCACCTGGAGAGGTGTTCTCTCAGATAGAGTAGTGTTTTTTTCCCACATTCACAGGGGTCCTTCACCCCTAACCCCAGTGAATGTGGAAGGACCACTGTAGACTGCTAGCATGGTGCAGTGGTTTGACCATTAGACTAGTACTCTGGAGGCCAGTATTCAAGATGCATTGAAGCAAAAATAGGACATTTAACCATGTTGTTGTTGTGTGCCTTCCAGTCGTTTCTGACTTATGGCAACCCTAAGTGGTTTTCTTGGCAAGATTTGTTGAGACATTTGCCATTGCCTTCCTCTATGGCAGGGGTAGGCAACCTTTCCCCTTTAAGGGCTGAGGGACTTCAGCTCCCAGAATCCCAGGAGCTACTGACCAACATGGGACTATTGTCCAACATGGCTGAGGCTTCTGGGAGCTGAAGTCCCTTGGCCCTTAAAGGGGAAAGCTTGCCTACCCCTGCTCTATGGTGTGGCGTAGTTGTTTGAGTGTTGGACTATGACTCTGGAGACCAGGTTCGATTTCCAGCTCTGCCATAAAACCCACTGGGTAGACTTGGGCAAGTCACATGCTCTCAGCCTCAGAGGAAAGCCATGGCAAGCCTCATCTGAACACATCTTGCCAAGAAAAACCCATTATAGGGTTACCTTAGGATTGGCATGGAAACAACTTGAAGGCACATAATACACACACAAAGGCTTTAACCTCTGCAGTAAATAAAGGACTGCAAAGGCCAGATGGAGAGAAGTGTGGGAGAGGTCTTGCTTGGTCTTCACCTCCCACGGGGGTCTCTGAAACAGGTGTGCTTCTCCACACTTATCACTTTAGACTGAAGGATTAAGAACCCTTGCCATTTGTCAGCTAATGTGGATTCTGTCTGGGGTTCTATGTAGGGTCAGGATGGGGTGGTGGTTTGAGTGTTGGACTAGGAATCTGGAGACCAGGGTTCGAATCCCTGTTCAATGATGGAAACCCACTGGGTGACTCTGGGAGACTCGTACACTTTCAGCCCCAGAAGACCTCATGATAGGTTGGCCTTAGGGTTGCCATAAATCAGAAATGACTTCAAGGCACACTACAACAATACAACCAGGTTTCTATAGGTTACACAAGGTTATGTTTGTGCTTTATAGATTATAGCAAAGCCTTTGACTGCATAGACCACAAAAAGCTATGGAATGCCCTCAAAGAAATGGGACTGCTACTACATTTGGTAGTCCTGCTGTACTCATGACAAGAGGTAACTGTTAGAACAAAATATGGAGAAACAGAATGGTTCCCAATTGGCAAAAGGGTCAGGCAAGGCTGCATTATATCACCCTATCTGTTCAACTTGTATGCAGAAAATATCATACAGAAGAGCAGGCTTAGAATCAGTAGAAGGAGGAATGAATATAGGCTCTAAAATACAGTGTTCCCTCACATTTGCTGGGGTTATGGGTGAAGGACCCCCATGAATGTGAAAAAACCGCAAATAAAAAAACACTACTCTTTTTACCTGAGAGAACACCTATCTAGGAATCTCCAGGTCCTCCAATGCAAGTTTATGGTCAACATCTGCCAGAGGTTGATCATAGAATTATGCTGGAGGACCTACAAATGTCTAGAGAAGTGTTTTCTCTAGGGATTTCTAGGTTCTCCATCACAACTTCTGGAAGAGATGTGCTAGAGGACCTAGAGCAGGGGTCAGCATACCTTTTTTTGGGGGGTCCGCTTCCACTGTCCCCAAGATCATCGGCAGGCCGAAGGGAAAAAAATGGTGCCAGAGGTGCGCTCATGCAGACTCATGCACGCATGCGCACTACTCCCGGCGTCGTGCACATGCGTGCGCAATGCGTAACGCCATCTTGTGTTCCAAAATGGCACGCGCACGCACGCATGCGTACAACACCGGGAGTAGTGTGCATGCGTGCATGGGTGCAATTTTGTGTGTGCGCATGTGTGCGCGGCGGTGGCAGCAGCAGCACCAGGACCGGCCATGGGCCAGTTGAAAGGCCTCGAGGGGCCGGGTTCGGCCCCCAGGCCGTAGTTTGCTGACTCCTGACCTAGAGATTCCTAGAGAGATTGTATTAATCAAAACTGCAAATAATCAAATCCACAAAAGTCAAAGCCACAAATGTGGGTTGCTGACTGTATTCAGATCTAAAATATGTCAACAATTGAAAATACGCAGACGACATCATACTACTAGCAGAAAGCATCACAGACCTGATGAAGAAAAAGTTAACAATCTCTTCCTGCTGTATTAAAGATGGTGAGATTTCATCTCTTCACCCAAGCCATCACCAGTTAGGCTAGGATTTAGTTTGTTGTGTATTTATTTATTAAAGCCATTATTATTTGTTTTTAAACTACAAACTACATGTTTGTCACTGAGTTGAGTTGATCATTGTTTGAGTTGATTCCTTAGGAAACTATATTTAGAATAAAATAGATGGACTCACACTTTCGCTGTTCTGCTGATGAAAGCTGGACTCTTAACAAGTTTAACTTTCATACTTGCATGTTTTTGTTTCCCTTTAAAAGGGCTGACACAGAGAAGGATTGATAAAACGTCAATCCTTCTGTACTGAAGACAAGATTTAAGTGATAAAAGTTTATACAAACGGGATGAATGTGGAAGTCAAATTGTAAATATGTATATTTGGAAAACTATGTTCCATGACTACTTTTGAATGCTATCATTTGGTATATTATAGGTTGAAAAAAATAAATTAAAAATAAAATAACAAAACAAAAAGGTTAACATCCTGGGAAGTTCAAATTGCACCCTACATATATATAATATATTTTTGGAAGAAAAAAATTTAGATGAAGGAGAAAAGTTCAAAGGCAGGCTTGTGGCAGAACATAGAGAAAACAAAACAACAACAATATGGCCATGGAGGTAGGATCTGCTTTTAATCCAACCCTAGATAACAAGGAAATTGAAATGGTGAAAAGAGTAATTTCCCCATTACCTTGGATCAAACATTGATCTGAATAGAGAGAGTGCTATCAAGAAATCAGAATAAAGCTAGGGATGGATGGGAAGGGCAGCCATGAAAGGACTAGACAAGATGCTAAAGAGTAAAGATAGACAGCTGGGCACTAAAAACAGAACTGTCACTCACCTCCTTGGTCCCGCCCCTTCCGGCCATAGAGGTGTACCTGTGCATATCTTCCTAGAGCGGCGCTACAGTGGCTCAGTCCTTGGAGGACTCTGAGGAAGAAGGAACAGAGAACTAATCCTTCCCTATTGCAGCTTACTCTGCCCTCTTTCTAAAACCAGAACTGTCACTTACCTCCCCTGGTCCCGCCCTTTCCGGCCATAGAGGTGCGCCTGTATGTATCTTCCTAGAGTGGCACTAGAGTGGCTTCCAGTTCTTGGAGGACTCTGAAGAAGAAGGAGCAGGGAACTGATCCATCCCCATTACCCTCCACTCTGCCCTCTTTCTAAAACCAACTGTCACTCACCTCCCTAGTCCCGCCCCTTCCGACCATAGAGGTGTGCTTGTATGTATCTTCCTAGAGCGGCACTAGAGTGGCTGCCAGTCCTTGGAGCACTCTGAAGAAGAAGGAGCAGGGAACTGATCCATCCACTCTGCCCTCTTTCCAAAACCACAACTGTCACTCACCTTCTTGGTCCCGCCTCTTCCGGCCATAGAGGGGTGCCTATGTGTATCTTCCTAGAGCGGCTCTAGAGTGGCTACCAGGCCCTGGAGGACTCTGAAGAAGAAAGAGCAGGGAGCTGATCCTTCCCCATTGCAGCCCAGTCTGTCCTCTTTCTTATGGGGTGAAAGAGAGAGGGTTGGCTTGGTCTTGATCCTCCCACCCCAAAGGAAACCTGGTCAGTTTCTCCTCCTTTCCTTCTGTGGGTCTGGACAGAGGAGGAGATCATCCATAGGGCTGCCATGGGAGGGAAAGAGGGAGATGGAAGGGGATGATGGGTTTGCCAGAGGGGAAACTGCAGGGTGTGTGTGTGTTTACTTTCATCAGGTGGAGCTGGACACACAACCAAGGTCCAAAACACACACAGCAGAGACCATCCAGTTTGAAACCACTTTAACTGCCCTGGCTCAATGCTGGGGGATTCTGGGAACTGTAGTTTTGTGAGACATTGAGCCTTCTCTGTCAGAGAGCTCTGGGGGCCACCACAACCCACAAAATTGTAGTTTGTTGTGGCAGCACCAGAGCTGTCTCTGACAGAGAAGGCGGCTCAATGTCTCAGAAAACTACAGTTCCCAGAATCCCCCAGCATTGAGCCAGGGCAGTTGAAATGGTCTCAAGCTGGATTGATTCTGCAGTGTGTCTTGGACCCAAGTCAGAGGATTGCATCCATTGCTCCATGTCCTAGGGTGCATCTTTGTTAGAATCAGTCATAGAATCATAGAGTTGGAAGACACCCCAAAGGCCATCCAGTCCAACCCCATTCTGCCATGCAGGAAATCACAATCAAAGCATCCCCGACAGATGACCATCCAGCCTCAGTTCTAAGACCTCCAAGGAAGGAGACTCCACTGCAAGAGATTCCAAAGGCCATCCAATCCAACCCCATTCTGCCATGAAGGTAATCACAATCAAAGCACTTCTGACAGATGACCATCCAGCCTCTGTTTAAAGACCTCCAAAGAAGGAGAATCCACTACTCTCTGAGGCACTGTATTCCACTGTCATATCTCTCTGACCCTCAGGAAGTTCTTCCTAATGTTTAGGAGCAATCTCTTTTCCTGTAGTTTGAACCCATTGTTCCATGTTCTAGTCTCTGGAGCAGCAGAAAACCAGCTTGCTCCATCCTCAATATGACAATCCTTCAAATATTTAAACAGGTCTATCATATCACCTCTCAACCTCCTTTTCTCCCGGCTGAACATACCCAGCTCCCTAAGTCTTTCCTCATAGTGCTTTATGGTTTCCAGACCTGTGGTAGCGGTGGTTGATAATGCGCCTTCAAGTCTTTTCCGACTTATGGCAACCCTATCTTGGGGCTTTCTTGGCAAGATGTGTTCAGAGAAGGTTGACCATTCCACACTGCAGAAATAATCCAGTTTGACACCACTTTAACTAACACGGCTCCAAGCTCTGGGAACTGTAGTTTTGTGAGACACTTAGCCTTCTGTATCAGAGAGCTCTGATGTTGCTACAAGCTACAATTCCAAGGATTCGATAACATTGGGCCATGGCAGTTAAAGTGGTGTCAAACTGGATTATTTCTGCAGTGTGGATGCAGGCTAAGAGAGTATTGCTAGAAAACAGTAAGGAGATAGGCTCCATGGCATCTGAAATGGCCAACTGTTATTGCTTTTAAAATAGTCTAATACATTTTGACCTGTATGGGAAGTGGCCTTCGCCAGGGACCTTTAGCTGAAATAATTGGAGTTGAGAAATTCTCTAAAACACATTGAGTATAAAAAGACAAAAGGTTATTTATACTCAATGGTTCTGTGTTTGGGAGAGTATTTTCAACTCTCTGTTGAAGGTCCCTGAAGAAGTCCTTTTCTCATATTAAGATCATGAGTTGTGGATAAGTTGCTCAAGTCCTTGAATATTCTGGAGATGTGTCCTTCCCTCTGACCTTTTTGAGCGTTAAGATCTTATACTCTGATGCCTATGCTTTTGTATTATTGTTTTGATTGTTTTGTTTTGATGTTTTTAGAGGTATTTCCTCTTTTATATGATGTATTTTAAATATGTTGGATTTAATAATTTTTTAAGGGGTGGGGGGGAATAGTTCTTAATGTTGTATTGTGATTTTATTTTGTAAGCCACCCCGATTGTTCTCAGAGGGGCGGGATATTAAATAAAAAGTATTATTATTATTATTATTATAAGTTGTTGTGTCTGTTTATTTCTTAGTTTAGTATTGATTTATTTACTTTTTACTTTAGTTTTGTTTTTTGCAGTGAAGCAGTTGTCCAGTGCCTCCTATGTGTATATGGTTTGCTTCCTATATGTTCACAAAAATGGTAGATGAGGAAAAAATGGGGTT